TCCCTGCCCCTTGGTTAATCCTTTCATTAACCCCACATAGCATCAAAAGCAGGGTCACTGTGGAGGTAGGGAACAGCAGGAAAAGTGTTCTGGAAAAAGCAAAAACTTGATAGTGAAATAAATGATTGGAAGGACGGTGAAAGAAATATTAAGAGACATACATCACTGACGAAAACAAAAGCTTGTACTTTTTTACCCAAAATAATCAATGTGATACCTTATTGAAGCATAGTAAGAAAATGTGGGGATGAGGGGGAGAGATGTTTTCACACACTTCTTGAGAACCTAGCATTATAGTTTAGTAGCCATGAAAATAATGGCCTGATTGCCTGTCTTTAGAACTTAGCAACAGGCACACTTACAGCAATTATATGACTCAGCACGCTACATGCAGACTCTATGCTGACTCAGCATGTAATATGCTGACTCAGCATGTAATATGCTGACTCAGCATGCCGCGTGCTGAGTCAGCATACAGCAGGAGCAATTAGGGGCCACTGTGGGAACATAGGAAGGGCATTTCACCCCACATGACATCAGAAACAGGGGAGCTGTGGAGGTGGGGAGTGACAGGAAAGTTGTCCGGGAAAAAAGTGAGAAGACAAGCTGAGTAGCTGAAACTTGAAGGGGAACGGGGAAAACCACATGAGGAGCTGAAAGAGGAGCATTTCGTGTGTGCACAAAATCCAGACAGTCAAACCCAAGGTGCGATGTGTGCAGAGCATATTCTCAAAACCAAACCTTGTTCAATCTGACTTCTGGCTTGGATGTTTCAGTGCAAAAAGGGCAAGAAATGCAGTTGGAGAGATTAGTAGAAGCCAATCAGGAATGGCCCATTAAATCTTTTTGGAAGCTTAGATTTCAAATCTTGAGAGCAGTGAGACTAACCAAAGGCTCCTGTACTCCTTTGGTTAAATAATATACAACAAAATGACTGTGGATGCAAGGTGGTAAGCCTAAGAAGAGGACTAGAGGCAAGGAAATGTGTTTTAATTTTCTTGCAATGATTCGGATGAAAAACAAATGGAAAAGCTGATGTCTGTAACAGGGCTCCTGAGAATAATGAGCGAGTTTAAAAGGAATGAGCCATAGAGCTTTGGTCAAATGAGGACAGTGAGGGAGAGCAGTTAAGTGTGACGCCTTGTTATCGTTTTGCTTTGGGGGTTATGTTATTTTTGTTGCTTGGTCAGCTCTTTACATAATAAGCCACTCGCCAAGATAATAAAATGCAACTGTTTCATAGGCAGACAGATAGAGCAACTTCAGGGTACTGGAGGAATCTGATGGAGTCAGCTGGAAATGTAGGGTTGAACCTGGCAAGAACAACCGGGGCTGGAGCACTGGTTTGTACCTTGTCAATCACAGGGCCATAGCTTCTGAAGTTCCAAAGTAAGATCACTCAGTGAATGCACACACTGAAGGGAAGAAAGAGGAGAACCATCAAGTCCTTAAATGCAGATATTGAAGGAATAGGGTAAGATGGGCCCAAAAGTTAAATTGGAGAGGCTGCCCAGAAGGTAAGAGGAAAAACAATTGAGTCTGTTCTGTAAACCAGGAGAGTAAAGGACTAGAAAAAAGGGGTTATGATCAACAGAGTTAAATATTTCAGTACAAAACAGGTTAACAAAAAATTGCCTGTAGACCTAGAAACAATATGGCTACTCCTGAACTTCTTCAGAGCAGTTTCTTTAGAGATTAAGGGGAGACTCCACAATACATTCAAGGTTGATGTTGTATTTTGTAATTCCTTCAAGAAACGTGAGTGTGTATGTGTGTGTGTGTGTGTGTGTGTGTGTGTGGGCTCAGTTTTTTTGAGATAGAGCTTTGCTATGTAGTTCAGGCTGGCCTTGAATATACTATGTAACCTACACTGATCTTGAACTCACAGCTATCCTCCTGCCTCAGCCTCCCTAGTGCTGGGATTCCAGACACACACCATACATAGTTTAAGAAATTTGCAAAGAGAGGCTGGACGTTAGCACAACACTGGCATAGGATTGGGAAGAGGATTTCTTCTGAGAGCAAGGAAACTGCCTCACGTGAAAATACATAGAAGAAGGAGCTGGTATACAATAAAATGAAGTGGGAATATATGTAATAAAATGAGATCCCAGGGAAGTGAACCAGAGGTAAGAGGGATACAGTGATTATATTACAGATGTGATTACATTTCTAACTGTTCAACAAGAACATTTGCTTCATTTCTACTTTCTGGGATCTATGACCTGAGTTTACCACCCTTACTTAGGAAATGAAGATGGTTTGGTGGCCAGAATATAGCCCCTAATCAATTAATCTAAATTTTATTACCAGTTTGAATAGTACCTGTCTATGTAAGTTTAAATGGCTTAACTTCTGCAACATGTAAACACAAAGTCCTTAGTATATTATTTCTTTTATTTAAAATACAGAGAATAGTGGATGAATTTTATTATAGGAAATTATTCCTATATCATTCGCTTAACTATAGACATTTTTTCTTTTTATATATTTGCATATTTTAGAATTCAAGATTTAGAAATTCCCTCCCATTTTAATCAGAAAACATCCATATTTGATCTAGTTAAACATGCCGTATATTGCAACTCAGAGGTAACTACAACTTGAATAATATGAAGTCTTATAATTGCTTTAAAGGTTGCTGTTACAGGTTTTACACTGTTGAGCAGTTTTACATTGTTGAGCAGCCCACTTAGGAAGCCTAAATCTTATTTTTAAATGCTACCATTGATTTAGGCTTTACTGCAGTTTATTTGGAAATGTTCAGAATACTGGCTTACTCATATATAGTTAAGAACTGAATGTTAAACAATAGAACAAGTGGATATTCAGGAACTCTAAATTCCAAGTCCAGCATAATTCTTTATGGGACGACCCTTGAAAGGCCGTTATTCCTCCATGTGCTGCATGTTCCTTCTTATGAAATGGGTATGAGCTTTCAGGTCCTCATCATAAAAGGCCTGGGAGGACATATTGTGAGTCAGTATATGAATACAAGAAAGTGACCCTTAGCCCCAATATCTAAAAGGAGGAGTAGACACTGTATAAGTAGAGATTGCTAAATAATGGGAATCAACTATAGCCCACTGCTGCCATTGGGCTTAATTTAAAGTCATGGTTACTACCCAGAGTCCCTGTTCCCCTACCCACTTCCATCTTGTGGCACTCTGAACTGGTCAGTGGCCCAAGTACCATCAATAAATATCACCTGAAGGGATTCACAGGGATCATACGGCTGTCAGGCATTTGTCTTTTTAAGGAGAAACTGTTCCGTGAGGGAGGAATGGAGTTCACAGTGGGAAGGAAGAATGAGAAAAAATAAGGTTCTTTTATTATTGAACTCCTTCACAATTCCGTGCCTGCTCTCCAGGACACACACATTCTCAGGGACAGCATAAGCAACTGAGTAAAGGCAAAATCACAGTTGACCATAAACCTTTCTATTTGTAATCAGTGCATAACCTCTGTGATGAAATTTGGGAGTAATTCACTTCCCACTTAAGCCTACCAGTGTGGGACTCGAATGTTGCCGCCCTGAACACTAATGAAGGAAGTCAGACGGCAGTGCAGCTTGCCCTTGGAAACTCATTTTTCACATCACCAAAAAGTAATTTCTGTCATTTTCTGCCATCTGGTAGCCTGGATTGTAAAGATGAAATTTCATTTCGGAAGTGTTTAAGAGCATGGGTCCTGGGGGCAGCTCAATTGGAATTCTTTTTCTGCTTCTCACCTGGCTCCATCTATACCAGTAAATAAAAGCCTCATAGGATATCATGTCTTTATTATAAGAAGGTGAGATGATACTTGTAAAGTATTCTACTCTGACCCTTAGGAATAGTAATTGTTTCAATAAAGTTAGCTATTATTAAATTGTCAGAAGTGGTGGTGACGATAGTATTGAGAATAATAGTAGTATCTGCTTGTCTTAACATAGGCCTTATTGACTCAGTATTTACATTCTAAAGTAGGTCATCTGGCCTGCTACAAACAAAGACCATATTTAGATCCTTTCCATTGTAGTCACTAACCCAGCTCTTCCATGTATGTCCAAATAAGTACTTTATATTACTAACAATGTTGCAATCTAAATGAAATAACACTTTTTCTTTCCCTAGCATTTGAAGAAAGGTTGGATGCTGGTCATTTTATATACATAAGATAATAAATTTAAGTAACAGTAATAAGAAAAATGTTATTCTTTTTTATTTTAAAGATTAAAAAAACTAGCAAAACAACAATGAAGACAAAATCAAAACAACAAAAATGATATATGACCTCAAAACAAAATGATAGGAATTGACAATGGTTGCTACATTACATACTGTTATCTTCAATGAAGTTGCTCAGTCCACCAGACATAAGAATGTAAGATTCATGAAATGATAAAGGACAGTATCAAGTAATTTTTAAAAAGACATTGAAAATGATGCAGGGTTTCACCATACAAGATGGTAGGAGTTACACCTATGTTTATAGCAGCACAACTTACAATAGCTAAATCTTGGAAACAACCCAAATGTCCATCAACTGAGGAATGGATAAAAAAGATGCAGTACTTTTATACAGGGGAGTATTACTCAGCTATAAAGAAAGAGGCTTTTATAGGTAAATGAATGCAACTAGAGACCATACTCATAAGTGAAGTAAATCAGATTCACATGTGAAAAAAGTTATTCTTAATTTGTATTGAAGTGTTGCATTCTCATTTTTGATAAAGTTTATTCTCATCTGAAAAGAGCTCATTATATGAGTCAATCAATATACTTCTTGTAGCGCTCAGGTGACCATAGCAGGAGAGAATCTTATCTTCTAGCAGTGCTTTAGAAGCACTTAGAAACTTGGTGAACAGATGACAAGTGTGATTCTTAAACCTGGACACTCCATATAAAATTTCAAATTAAGTAATAAAAGCTCACATTTGCCACCTGTGGTCACAGGACCAGCGCTACAAGCCTGCTTTTACTGACCTGGTTATACATCCCATTTGCTTTTCTTTACAGTTCCACCAAAGATCTCCAATATCTCCTCGGATGTCACTGTGAATGAGGGCAGCAATGTGACCCTAGTCTGCATGGCCAATGGCCGCCCTGAACCTGTTATTACCTGGAGACACCTTACACCAACTGGTAAGCAGCCCTCTGGCTTCTAAGATGCCTCATGCTAGTTAAAATTCCATGGAATTGGAAGGACAAGAATGTGTCTTAGTAAAATACTATGAAATTTCCAACAAGGGTCTTATTTGTGGTCCTCGTGGACATTAATAAATTGTTCATCCCTATGAAATTTATAGCCACAGCACTGAATGTGTGTATGTGTATATATGTGCATATGTATATAACATCTCACTTTCAGTAGAGTAGTTTCAAGGCAACAGATGCAAGTTTTGTGGTTGTGTGTCTTGGGGAAATGTTGTGTATGAATTAAATTTACATAGTTTTTGTAAGTTTGTTTTACTTTGCTTTTCCTAGTTACTTTCCTCATATGTAATATCTCACAAAGAAATTAGGAATAGTACAAAATCGTTTTGATTTTTGTTTTGATTTCTAATGCCCTGGCCTTGGTATCTGGTCTTATATTTAAGTAACATTGTTATTAAAGGCTTCTATTTTTGTATGAAAATGTCACCTAAAGCCCATCTTTATTAATGCATACAATTCATCATGTATTAATAACATATAAGGGATGCATGCGGCACTTGTTTGGGTGATCAATCTCAACTTCACTGCCTCCCCAACACATTTTATACTTCACATGGAAAAGCATAGGAAGAGGATTTTCAGAAGTGTGAGCCTGTGATCTCATACATCTCATTCCTGAAATGAATTAAACATTCAGAGCCCATTTTTTTTCAATGGCACCTTACCCCCAACCCCACCTCACTTATCCCATCCCAACTTGAAATTGCTTTTACCTACTGGCAACTTGGAATAAAAGCTATTCGCTTCTATTTAAATACTTTATCAAAGATAACTTCTAAAATCATCCTGTTTACTGCAATATTGTTATCTAGAGATTATTAATATTTTATAATGTCAATATTTTGAAGGTCCTTTTTAAGAAATTCCTTTTTCTTTTTAGTATCTCTACTGTTCCCTTCCTAAGCAATGGTTAATTTTTTATAAATTGTTTCAGTGCATTTTTATAAATGTTCCCAAGTCCTTCATTCTATTGACTATTATGAAACATAAAAGTAAATTTATGACCTATCTGTAAAATAATATATTATAAATTGTACATTAATATAATTTATTTTAAACAAACAATGACATAGGAGTTTATGGCATCAAATTCATATACATAACACATAACAAATTCATATACATAACACATTCCTTTTTCATCTGCTTTTTTTATTATATTTATTTTGTCTTATGTTTCATAATTAATTTAAAAGTTTCTACATATATTATTTATAATCCAATAGCAGGTATCAGCAACTGATAGCCTATGGGCTAGATCTAGTCTTCCTATTTATGCATGGCCTGTAAACGAGAATTATTTTTAAATTGCTAAATGGTTAGAAAAAATAAAAAGAAGAATTCTGTTTTCTGATGTACCAAAAATGGATGAAATTCAATTGTAAGTGTACATACATAACATTTCATTGAAGTATAGCCATGTTCATTTGTCTTTGTACATTGTCTATGGCTAAATTTGTTCTAAAAATAACAGAGTTTGCGGGCTTGGTCCACAAAGTTGAAAATATTTTCTGTCTGGTCCTTTAGAGAAAAGTTTGCCTGCCTTTCCCCAGACCATAGCTTAGGACATGGGCAAAGATTTGTCATTCTTATCCAAGGCCCCATAGGATTTTAGAGATAGACTCCATCAAGTTGCTGCAATGATATAAAAAGGTTACTTCTTTCTTTTAGTATATGCTTACAATGCATAATAAATACACTCATCATGGCGAATTTCTACCCATACATATCCCCCAACATCTTTTTTACTTCCCCTTCCCTCTTCTTCTTCCCAGCTCATTTATCCCCGAATCCTCTTCCCATCTCCACAGAGCTAATCTCCCCATTTCCTATTATCTCTTATTTTGCTGTTTAAAGTATGATAGTTATACTTTGGTTTTCTCATATTTAAAAAACTGTGTGATATTTAACCATCTATATAGGATTTATTTCACTTAGCATAAGAGTCCCAAGTTGCATTCATTTTCCTACAAATGACTAAAAGTTAGCCTTCTTTTTGGCTGATTAGTACTTCACTGCATATAAATACCAAATTTTCTTTATATGCAGTGAAGTCATCTGTTGGTGACCATACAGGCTCTTTCCAAGATTTAGGTATTATGAGCTATGTTACTATAAATATGGATGTACATGTATCCCTGTAATATGATATCTTTAACTTTTTCTGGAAGACATCTAGAGGAGGTATAGTTGGGTTAAATGGAATTTCTGCTTTTAATTTTTTAATTAAAAAAAAATTAATTCCACACTGATTTCCACAGTGCTTGTGTTGGTTTACATTCCCACCAGCAATATAGAAGTATTTCTTTTTACCTAAAGCCTTGCCAATATTTATTGTTTTTTGAGTCCTTGATGATAACCATTTATCTGGAATAAGATAGAATTTCAGTGTTATTTTATTATGCATTTCTCTAACAGTGAAAGATATTAAGCATTTTTTCACGTATTTACTCTTATTTCTTTTAGGAAGTATACATTTATTTCAATTGCTCTTTTATTTGGGGGGATGTAATTTTTTTTAGTCTTTACATATCCTAAATATTAGTTCTTTGTCCCAGGACTACCTGGCAAAAGAAATTTTCCCACTTTTTAGTTTGTACCTTGACCCTGCTGTTCATTTCCTTTGCTGTTCAGAAGCTGTAACATCTCATAGAATCCCATTTGTTGATTCATGATGTGATTTCTTGTGAAATTGTTCTGTTCAAAAATTCCTTGCCAGTGCCTATAACTTCAAAAGTTTTACATATTTTATACTGATATTCTTTTTAAAACTTGATTAAGTTTATTGGTTCAATTTAGATACATACACTGATCACATTCATCATAGAGAATTTGCACCTCTATATGATACATTTTGATTCATCTTTTTTCCCAATCCCTTTCCTCCCTTCAACCCATCTTCGCCTCCCTATGTTTCTGTTCTCATACCTGATCTTTGGTCTGTTTCATTTTATTTTAGTACAAAATGAGAGACATGGGTGTGGATTCATTGTTTTCTACGTGGATAACCAGTTCTCCCAACACCGTTTGTTAAAGAGGCTATCTTTTCTTCAGGATATGTTTTAGGACATGTTTTAAGGATCATGTGGCTGAAGGTGTCTAGAGTTATTTCTGCAACCTCAGTTCTCTTCCACTGATCAACATATTTATTTTTGTGTCACTGCTATGCTCTTTTTAGCATTGTAGCTTTGTGATATAGATTGAAATTTAGTCTTCCAATGTCTACTGTTTTGTTTGTATTGGTCAGGATTGTTTTGGCTATTTTTCTGGCTGGAAATAAATTTTAGAATTTTTTTCTAGTTCTGTGAAGAATGTTGATGGTGTTTTGATTGGAACTGCATTTAAATGTATGTATCATTTTTGGTAATATGGCCATTTGGACAATATTGGCTCCAGGAATGTGAATGTCTTTCCATTTTCTGATATCATCTCCACTCTTCAGAGTATAGTGCTTTAGTGTTTATTATAGAGATCTTTCACTTTGGTAAGGTTAATTCCTGGATATTTAACTTTTTGAAGGTACTGTGAATGTGACTGTTTGCCTAATTTTTCTCCCAGTCATTTATTATTGGTGTACGGAAGTGCTGTAGATTTTTGTGTGTTGATTGTGTATCCTGCTACTTTGATGAACTTGTTTAATAGTTCTAAGAGTCTTTTGGTGGAGTTATTTGAGTGTTCTCTGCAAAACATCATGTGATCTGTGAATAAAGGATTGTTTGACTTCTTCCTTTCCTACATATATGCCCCTTTTCACGTTCTCTTACTGGATTGCTCTACCTAAAGTTTTGAGTACTGTATTGAACAGGATAAAACATTACCTTTACTTTTCTACAGTCATCTCTCTCGGCCCCCTCTTTGGGCCAAGTTCTTTTGGGGAACGTATGCAACCAGATCCCTGATGCATTTGTAGGTCAAAGACGGACTTCTGTCCTCCCTTACAAGAAGTATTAATTCCTAAGCTTACTCTTTCATCTGTTTCACATCTGGCCTAAATAACCAACCACCCGATCAAAATCATATTCCCAGTGACAGGAGAGAGCATTTGCCTTTACAATTTTATAAAGGAAACTAGGACTTTATGTGTGTTTTATCCCTTTCAAAATTTGGAAACAGTGGGAACCTTTTCAGCCTATCAAACAAAGCCTTTCTTGGAGACACCCAAAGAAGAGACCTGCTGCTCCGTGTGTGACAGCAAAGCTGCCTGCAACCTGTGGCCATGTGAGAAAAAATAATCCAGCTAGCTTTGTTCAATTATTTATTGTGCTTCTGCAGTACCATAGAAGTATTGTGCCCTCCGAAGGAAATGTGTCTGTAATTAGCTCAACCCCACAGGAACATCAAGTCCTGAAAGGGGAAAGATTCCACGTAGGACTCACAAATGTCTGATTACCTGTCATTTGAAGAAGAAGAAAGGAAAAGAGATGCATGGTGTATTTTTATAAGAATATATTATCGCCTAAACCGGTTCTTCTTTCTTTAATTTTTGGTTCGGCTATTTTGTTTCTTTTTGCACTGCCATGTGAAGTTTCTTTTTCAAGTATACTGCAGATGTTTGAAAAGAAAGAAATTAAAAGAAGGATGAATTTTTTATATATACAGAATCAAAACACTTTTTCTGACTTTGATGGAGAAGAGATTAAGGCATTCTGTGTAGGTCTTTCATATATTTCTAATTTCTTAATCTCTTCTCCTCTTCAGTTACTTCATATAGTCAAAATGATGTGTCACGTATGTAGCTATTAAATGTGACCCATTTTCTCCCTTAATTAAGTTAGACTTTCATAATCGTGTGACACCCAGAGGGCAATTGCACCATAACGTGTCTTTTCTGTGGAGTGTTTGATCTCCCTTCTGTGAGAGATGCTGCTCCTATCTTCATTTTTACTTTGTTTCTAAATCTTTCTTCTTACATCCATGAGAAAAACCTT